TATATATATATATATATATATATATATATATATACATAACGTATCACAATACGAATTCATAACACATAGTATTCACGCAAATACCTTCAATCAACATAAAAAAAATAGTTGTTATAAAAAAAAAATTCAAAATTTTGAGATATACGCCTATATCGTCCCCACTCATACTAGGAAATCCTTACGGACTCTATACATGAATCCTAATAAACTCTATCCTAGCTCCACGACTCGACACAGGATGATCCTAAGGATACTGGAACTAGAGCTCTGATACCAACTGTGACGCCCCTGGGTTCACACAAGGCTGCAGTCCGAGGTGAAACCAGAGATGTCAAACCTGCCATGCACCACACCGTGCAATAACATGTTTCACCATCACAATTCTATCACTCTAGTGAGTCAATAACAGGTGTAGGTACAAAACAAGTGAAAAATACTACAAGAGATAACTGATGAAAATGAGAGAGATAAAAAATAGTATTTCATCATCCAACATACAGGAATATAAAGTCAATGTCTGAAATGAACAAACTGGAGTTCTTAATACATCCCAAATACAACAAGTCTGAGTAAGGGAAATAAGACACACAACCTTTACAACATCTAGAAATAAAGTCCTCAACCGTCTAAACAAAGTCTATAGTGGAGCTCCAAAATAAAACATAGCTAGAATAGATAGTCGAACACTAAAGTGTGTCGCCATCAACCTGCGACTCTCCGGGCTCCTGGCTCGTGACCTGAAAGGGGGAGGGACAACGAGCGTCAAAGCGCTAGCGAGCAACGTCACAACCAACCCCAAGGGAGAGGGCTTGTTGTATAAGAAAATACAGTTATCACAAAACATATATATATAAGAAATTATCCAGAAGCAATAAACAATGGGCTTTAGTACTTAGGGAGTTTCAACACGGGCATAGGTACGTCGAGCGAAATAATCCAAACAAGGAAACCCTCATGTATATACCTTGTATCCCAAAATTGAAAATCCCTAAGTACCAAACCCGGAGTCTAATACGTGACCAGAAATAAATAAAAGGGAAGACAACCCATCTCAGAACATAAATAGAGTATCATGTAGTATCCCACGTCATAAATATCATGTCGTATTCTACATAAGTGTCATACCCAGTCTAGGTAGCTATCATGTCTTAACGGTATCAAAATGTCGTGTTCCAAAACTCAAATGTGTACCATGCTCAAGGTTTAGCAAAAATGTCCAACACATGGACTAAAAGTGATGCAGGTCCAACACATGGACTGAACAGAATGCATGTCCAACACATGGACCAAGATGGTAAGTATCCAACACATGGATCAAAATAATGCATTGCCCAACACGTAGACTATAAATGAAGGAAATGTAATTATCACTAGCATACATGGAAAAATACACCAAATCTAAACCCGCACGCATCCCGATGTACATGTCTAAACTCATGTCAAAAGTCAACCCACATGCACAATAACCAGCTAATCCTAACAATACAATAGTAATGTATGGCAGTCAAAAACAAGTTTAAATAGTTAAAACTTCATTAACAAAAATCCCAAACTTAAATCAACATGATTTTAAAAGTTCTTAAACAGTAAAAAAAATTAGATTTAATCCTCATAAAAACGTTTCAAATCAGGATCTCATTAATTGAACATCATTAGTGAACTTTTTAAGACTGAAATATATGATTCTTGCATCCCATGCCATAAGATCTACTTATCTACACAAAAATACGATTTTGGGCTCAATAAAAACCGAATAAAACTCAAATCCAAGCATAAAAAGGAAAAGGGATGAAGTTGGGCGGGATGTTACTCGCCTACGATGAAAACGAAGCCCTAGATCTGGAGGAAGACGATCCCTCTCGCTGAATCCTCCAACAATTCACTGAAAAGCCCTCCAAAGCTCCTCCAAATCACCAAGGAGTGAGAAACTAGGGTTTGAGGGGGAGAGAGGGGGCTAGGGTTGATATCAGATGAGAAATGTGGCTCTTTAGGGTATGATAGTATATATACTATCCCCACAACCCGACCCGAACCCGACCCGAAACCCTTTAAGACTCAACACAGAAAAACTCTCTGCCTGCTGTGCGGTCGACCGCCGCGCCTTGCGCGGTCGACCGCACAGCAGGAGAAAAGTCTCCTGTGTGCCCGACTGCTGTGCGGTCGACCGCCGCGCACATCGCGGTCGACCGCACAGCAGAACAACTGCCTGCTATGCCTTCTATCACATGCTGATCAATCCCCTTGATTTCTCTAACGTAGAAATTCTTGATAGGCTCCCAAACACTATTTATCACATTTATTTAACATATATATATGGTTGTTCATCTCAAAAGAAATGTTTACCACTAATAACTCAAAATATTCATTAATAAATTTACGGGGTTCTACAGTTTAGGACAAGTGCTATATACCCCTCCTAAAAGTAGATAAATATTTACTAATCACATAATAGAGAGTGCACTTTATAAAAACAAGGTCAACGATCTCCGATTTTTCTTTCTTATAGATGATAGAAACTATCTCTCAAATTGTTTATGGCTGTGTTTGGGAACTTGGATTTGGACCTTGGATTTAAAATCTAGGATATTTCAAATCTAAATCTTTTGTTTGGGCCTCAATTTGGGCTCAGATTTTAAATCCAATGATTTTTAAAGAGAAGATTTTGAAAGCCTAAATGACGTATTTGAAATCCCACCCTCACCCTTGGTATTTGCCAAATCCTGACGGGATGAAATCCCGATCCTGACTCCTCCTCTCTCACATTTCTTAGTCACGATCCTTTCTCGTCTCTCCCCTTCTCCTCTCTCGTCGAAACCCTAGATCTGATCTAGGGTTTCCCCCATCCTCAAATTCCCCTCTCCTCTCCTCCCGCCCAAATTCATCTCATCCCGACCCAAATTCCCCAGATTAGGGTTTCGATTCCGTCACTTCAATTGAGACGGCGCCGCCGACGTCGAGAGAAGTAGACTTATGGTGGGTCTGGTGACGGTGAAGGATAAGATCAATCTCATTTAGAAAGAGGAGAATTTCAAGCGCTCGCTCGATGTTTTAAAGCAATTCGAGTTGGGGACTCAGCTTCGAGTCGTTGGCGGTTGGGTTCGCGATAAGGTCGAATTTAATCCTTATTTTCTCATCTAATTTATATTGTTGATGACAATACTGTTTCAATTCGATCAAAGCAATGAAAAATTCTTCAGAGACTGAGGAAGAAATAAGTAGCTGGTATGCTAATTGCTATAGTTGGGATTTAAAAAAATTTAGTTGGGTACTTTTGTTAAAGAATTATTTTTAAAGATAAATCAAGGAATTTTTTTGGGGGGGAATATTAGCAATTGGTTTTATTCTTTGCTTTTTTTTGTGTGGTTATGTACACATATTTTAGGTAAAGATTGCTACGGTATTAATATTGCACTGGACAACATGTTAGGTAGAGAGTTTTGTGACAAAGTGAACGAGTACCTGCAGTGCGCTTATGAGAACATAAGAATATGATATTGAAGTTTGCAGGCTGTGCTATCATCCATGCACTCCTTTTTTCCACTTTATTGGAGCATCAATTAATTTACCCGGAATTTTTCTTCTGTGTTTCTGTTTGCACTTTCTTGTGCTGAAATGAACTGGTGCCGAGTGCAACTGTGCATGTGATCGTATACCCTCACGCCAGAAGACATAAATATGAAACTGGCAACTTGTAAACAAAATGTATTCAAATATATAATTTACAAACCACAATCTTTGCTTGCAAGAAGAACATAATTCTAATCACACTTCTGCTCATACACAAAACCATTCCATGGAAATATAACACAGGGGAAAGTGGTATTATGAACTCAGGAAGTTTTAATTTGCTCTTCTAAAATTACACAAGAATGGTAGCTAGTAAATCTGGTCCCTCCTATCGCATCACCACCTTAACCTATAGTAGGGTAAAAAAAAACACAAATTAGTTATCAACG